TTTGTCAGGGACAGTGTCAAAATACCCTTTTTACGTTTTACTAAGCCTTAAAATATAAACAACAAAAATAGAAAGGCTAAGAATTTTTTTTGGAGTAGTATTCATTTTATTGCACCGACAATTAATGAAAAAATAACAATGAATTCATTTGGGAAAAAAATGACTAGCTGATATTAAAAAAAAATGCCATTGATCCACCAAAAAAATCAATTAGTCATTCAAGTCATCATTATTGTTAATTTTATGAGATAAATGAACATCCTTTCATGCAATTACAAAAACAGATAAATGAATACAGAAAAAAGTAGACATACATATTAGCCAATTATCTGATGGTTCTGATGCTAAACTAGGGGGAATAAATTCTGTTTATTATTTAATCATGATTTATATAATTCCATTACATCACCCTCTACTGATTTTGAAAAAAAAACACTTTTCAGTTCATTTAACAAATTTTCAAACATCTACATTTGCAAGTACGTACTTGCAGGAATAACAACACCACCCCTTTCGGATGAAAACTTGGCACTGGCTGTCCAGTCACTTCAGCATATATTTCACCGCCATTATCCAGAATGTTACGAAAATGTGCAGAAAGACACTTGGGTACATGTCCGATAGGTAGCCCAGCTATGTCACTAACTTTCAGATAGCGTTTTTCATTCGTAATATCACTATGAATATGTTGGGGAAAATTGTTCAATGGTGGGAGTCACACCAAACAAGCATTGATGTCTTTGATGTTTGAATATTCCCTGTCAACAAGTAAAAGAGTTGGAGGAGATGTAAAGGGGGGACGGATTTTAAAAGCATGATAGCCTTTCACAAAACATTTGTCAATTATAATTTTTCTTGAAGCTAGACTGTTGGATTTCTCCATTCCAACATCCACAGTAGACTGAATCTTCTGCTTCAGTGAATACTGGAGGTTGTCTTTTCACTTTATATGGATCTACTTCACCTGTCCATCGTCTTTATATAAATAATGAATAAGACAGCTCATTCTCCTCTGCTGCTTTCCTAATTGATTGCTAATTTTTACTTATCATCATATAGTGCTCTTCAGACTTTCTCCCTTTTCCTTGGAGACATTATCTTTCCACATGCTCGTACATGTACTTCTTAGTGATTTTGGCTGCTGATTTTTTTATAAGGTGTATTTCCACCACCTTTATTATACACTTTTTTGGGAGACATATCTGAAAGTTCATATAATTATTTAATATCAGTAAAAGAAAGAAAAGAAATGAAATTATTTTGAGCTATAAACATTATATTTTAATGAATTACAGTATTTCAGGGAAACCAAAATATCGTTAAATTATAACCGAATGGAAAAAAGTTTCTACACACGGGAATTAAAGTGCATTTTTAAGTTCTGTTGTTTTTTATTGTAACAGGTGTGCTTGCGAAAAATTATAATTTTGATCCTTGCATCTCATAATTCATTTAGCAATGATTCGTAATTGGAAACTTAACTACCTACAACTTTATAGCTAATGGATATATTCTCTGATTAAGGAATTGTATGACGCTTTCAGTGCCTTTAGACACATGATTTTATTAAACATCTGTACCAAATTTGCTTACCTACAATGTACCATTCACATTAGAGCGCAACCGAAAAGTGAAAGTAGTTTGCTGCATGCACGCTCCTAGTCTGCGTCATGAAAAAAGCATGCTCATGTTTGTTTAAGAATTACGACACTGAACAATTTGAATTTTAATATTATGATATATTATGATATTCATGCATGATAAATTATAAAAGCAAGAATAATTCAACATGACAGGATAGGTTAAGCTAAGTATTGGACCTTGATCAGAAAAATACAGAATTTTTATTTGAACGTGATTCGTTATTGGCAACCTCACTGTAACTCAATGTTTATCAGTTTTGTTTTGTTTTGTTTTGTTTTTTTTTTGTTTGATGTCCATGAATGATGAACCCATGGCTACTAAAAGTAGATTAAAAATGCAGGAATAAAACGTCATTTTTCGACCCCTGTTTGCTCCCAATGATGAAAATGAATATTTCGAAAACTTATTGCACATCTACAAGACACCACTAATCAGCTTCCAAAAGATGATTAGTCTACTGCATAAAATGTAATAGGAAATAGGGTTCTTTATCTTGCCAACGCCTGCCGTGACACGGAGCCTCGGTTTTTAAGGTCTCATCCTAAGGACCCACAACTTTCACTTCAAAGTGCCGAGCGCTTGGCGAAGGAACAGTTGCTACCTATTTTTTATTGACTTGGGTCAGTCGCGGCCGAGATGCGAACTCACGACCTTCCGATCACGGAGCGAGCGCTCGATCTGCCGACTGAGCTACCGTGACGGTCGATTCCTTCTGAAAGTGTGGGTATAATGATTATTCGAGTCTTGTGAATAGGGATTTTTTTTTCAATATATATATATATATATATATATATATATATATATATATATATATATATATATATATATATATATATATATATATATTATGGCCCCATCCATCTTTTGCTCAGGTTGTCATTTACAGGATTTTTTTCGAAGATTACTGTCGTTTATTTGTTTGTATCATTTCCCCTTGTTGAAATAATTAATTATTAAAGAGTTTTTGAAAATTGGTGAAAGTGATTAAAATTGATACGAAATAATGTCAAAGCATGCAGACGGATAATATGCGTCATAACCAGTAAAACACGGGATCAGTTTCCATCATTTGCTGCAACTTGATTCATGCCTAATGTTTATGAAATAAGAGAATAAATTCAAGCAATAAGTCGTAAATGCTGATACTTTAATAACAGTGCGTTTATTTTTTTTTTCAATCAGACTCGCCTTACCATAACGCTGCAATTTTGAGAAAAAAAATCGACAACGGTTGAAATACGTAAAACTAGATATTTAAGCAAACGTTTAAAAAAAAAACTGGGGGAAAAACACTATTTCTGAAAAAAATTGTAGTCAAAGAGTAGAAATGTCATATGCACTGGAAATCGTATTATAGACAAAAGAATTTTTTTCAAATTACGTCGTCTTTTATGTACTGAATAATGAAAGAAAGATATTAACCTCATCCTGATATGAAAAAGTACACTATTTTACACATTAGTAAAGATTGTTTATCATATGGTTTTTCATTTTCACAGAGTTACTTGGACATTTTCCTAAAAGTGAAGAAAAATATGCATATGCATTATAATTTTTAAATCAAAACTGCACAGCAAGGCCATCTTTAAAAACTTGTTTGTTTGTCCTCTCCCGACCAACTGGCTAAAAGTAACCCGGCTGAATTTTTTTAACCTCCAGGAAACGATTATTTATTTTATTCATTCCCAAATTTTCTTATCTTGTCAACACGTATTTTAATTTTTAAAAAATCCTTTTATTTTAAAATATTTTGAGAATTATCTTTGATTTTGAAATTTTCTAGGAAAAAAAATTCCCACCTTCATTGTACCTACTGACCTATTCTCTTTAGAGAAGTGGACAGGCTTTCGCCTACATCCACTTCTCTTCGCAAGCCTTCATGTTTTGATTCTGGAAAACGTGTAAATCTCGAACCGGTGACGGTCTACACTTCAACTGACATTTCGTCTAAAATACGTCTGAATGTACGTAATAGACGTGTTATACTATCAATTTTAACATAAATACACACAATTGTCACAAGAAAACTGACCTTTAAGTATTGTTAATCCACTTTTCACAAGTTCTCCATCCCGGATTTAAACTAATGTTTTACCACAGCTTATTAGAAAAAAATTGAAAATTATAAGTCGGATAATTTGGAAAAATTGGCGAAGACGTATTTTAATGTTCAAAAAAAGTTTTTGACAATTCACTTTTGATTTAGCATATTATTCAAAATTAATATTATTACCTATACTTGTTTTTACTATTTTAACACAATTTAAATGTAAATTTGAGCTTAAAAAATACTTCATTACTTCCTCACTGACAATACTAAAAAAATATTTTCTTTTATTTTTAAACGATATTAACTCTACCTTTCCCGAGAAATGAAAAAAGATTTAAAACAAAGATCAAAAGAATTTGAAGGAAACTTGAGGAAATACTGTCTCATTAGTTTAAACAGTAGACAATTTCTCTCGTTTCATTATTATTTTGTAAAAATAGTTTCCATTTTTATCCGAATTAGAGATTTTTGAATACTTCAAGAGTTACTTGCACATAATTTAAATCCGGGATGGAGAACTTGTGAAAATGGATTAACAATACTTAAAGGTCAGTTTTCTTGTGACAATTGTGTGTATTTATGTTAAAATTGATAATATAACACGTCTATTACGTACATTCAGACGTATTTTAGACAAAATGTCAGTTGAAGTGTAGACCGTCACCGGTTCGAGATTTACACGTTTTCCAGAATCAAAACATGAAGGCTTGCGAAGAGAAGTGGATGTAGGCGAAAGCCTGTCCACTTCTCTAAAGAGAATACTACTGACCCAGCTTTCTTACCCTGGGTGGGAAGAGGGCAAACAAAGTTAACAAACATTATTTTAAAGATTAGCACTGCGGCATAGGTAACCCATTTTGCATATTTGGATAAAAGCACCATTTTGGCACTAATATAGAAATTCACAATATAAAGAAATTTGGGTATTGGGCCATTGCAGAATCAGGCCACCACCTAATTTAATATTGATTTAATAAGTTTAACTCTTTATTTAGATATAATAAATTAGTAAAAAGAGACAAACAGCAAGTCTAGCTATCAACATCAGTTGAATTCAATACTACAGTCTAATTTGTCCTGCTATATGCCACAAGTAGTAAAAACTACAATATTCACAATGTATAATAAAGTCCAAATCGACTTTTAGTAAAAAAAAAAAAAAAAAAAAAAAAAAACCTTCACATTCACATATGCTAGAGCACTTGAGTTTTGATATTTTGCATGCGCTCTTGCCTTCGTCAAATGACACCAAAAATAGAGAGGAATCTGTACTATTCCGTTTTATTGCCCTCTATAAGGAGGGGCCGTCACGGTAGCTCAGTCGGTAGAGCGCTCGTTCCGTGATCGAAAGGTCGTGGGTTCGAGCCTCGGCCGTGACATCTCAGTTGATAAAAAATAGGAAATTTGCGGGTCCTTCGGATGAGACCTTAAAAACCGAGGCCCCGTGTCACGGTAGGCGTTGGCACGATAAAGATTCCTCACTTCGCAATGACCCCGAGTGCCGAGTAAAATCTAAATTTTAAGCCCTTAATCAGTAAAGATGACGTATTTATTTGAGTGAAATATTCTCGAATGGGACGTTAAGCAACAATTAATCAATCTATAAAGAGGAAGTCTCAGCAGCAGCCTGCTTCGCTTTGCTCTTGCTACATTTTTTAAGGAAATATATATATGCATTTTTAACTATTAAAGTCTAATGTCAGACTCTTTAAACTTGCTAGAAATTTGATCGAAGGAAGGTCTGATGACAATTTGGACAATGATTTAAACTCTCTAGATTATATAGTTTGTCAATGGAGCCTCAGACATTGTAAAATTCCTATAAGCACAGAAAATCTTTCTCTTTTTTGATTTTAGATGAGATTACAGCGTCCAGAGAATGGCGTTAGACAAACTTGATTCTTATATCAAAGAAATTTTTGAGGTTTCTTTGTTTTATTTGACAGACAATTTAAGGTATAGAGAAGAGATTCATATTTGTATGAACTGAAATCCTTCTATCCTGTCACTCACAACTGGATTTTGTATATCATGGGGTTTTATTGCGATTAATAGAAATATGGCCGAACCGAATAAAGACATTCTTTGACTAAATTCATCAAGCTTATCTTTTCCACTTCTCTTCACACTTTCTGCAGAGTTTTATGCAGAATGGTCTGAAAGCTCCATAATACTCAGTATCTAGAATGAAGTATGGAAATAACGAACAGTATTCAAGCTCAAAGTCCATTAAAAATACAAATCGGTAGCAGAGCAAACACGGACATTCAAAAACATCAGAGGTGGGATCAGGTGCCAAGGAGGAGTGAGCATCCCCTGCCGACCGGTCACATCTGCCGTGTGCTCCTTGACATGATCGGTAAATGGCGGAAAATCCGTCGACAATTCAGTGTGTAAATAATGCCCTAATAATTAGTATGGAAAACGTCAGTCAGCATATGACTTAATGATAGATTTTATTTGCTGACAAGGTCATTGTATCCACCATAGAACTTACGGAATGATGACTTTAAATGAGACTGTTGATATTCTTGTTTCATCAGCTTTTTTTGTCAATAACTTTTCCCATTTTAGATCATACGTATAGCATGCGCTTGCGTATCGAATCATTTGAGATATACACCCCATATGCAGGTGATAAGAGTATATTGCTGCATGATTAAGGGAAGTTGACAATTGAAAATTTAAAGTCATCAAGTTTATCATAAATCTTCGTTGAACTAGAGGTCATTGCTTAATTTTTCAAAGGGATTGCTAGTCATTGAGCAAACAAGAGAACAAACACCTGTTGCAAACAAGGTCTGTACACTTGGAATTAATATTGATGACATTTTTTTCTGTGGGGCCATCACAAAATTCCTGTATTAATCTCTGGTCCAACTACCATCTACCTTCCATCAAAGAAGAGCTGATTGTTCATTGGTAAAGAAAACTGTTTCTTTGTCATCCTTGATATATGCATACCTAGGTGTTTGTATCTGGTCAGTGGGAATAACAGAGCATATTTTGCTATTTTACATTATAAAACTTTGATCCCTTTCTTCATGGTTTTCTTTAGGATGTTTTGATGTGTTGCTAAGATGAACAGGTATCCAACAACAGAATGCAAGCTCTGTAAGAGAACAAAGGTCAATGCACAAAGACAGTCCAACAGTCCTAAAATGGGGATAGTATTGATCCCATTCTTTACAAGACATTTTGAACGCCAGAATGTAATTTTCAGTTTCTGTAAATATCAGTCAATAGCAGTCATTAGCATGTTGCTGAATTGTGAAGATTCTGAACAGTAATCAAGCTTAAAAGTTTATTGGAACGTTACAAAGTCGGAGCAGTCAGCAACACGGACCTCTAAAAACATCAGAGGTGGGATCAAGTGCCCAGGATGAGTAAGCATCCCCTGTCACATTGCTGTGTGCTCCTTGTCCTGATCGGGTAAAAGGGAAAATCCGTAGACTATTAAGTGAGAAAACTAGATATAATTGAGATGGTGGCCATCTCAAAGGGCCCTGCTTTCAGCATTGAACATGAAAATGTAAGGTTGCTGTAAAGGATTTATTTTGAAGAGGAACATTTGTGTGCTATTAAGGGATATGTTGTTTGAGTCTAAAGGGCTTCTATGTCATCCTTGTTATAATAAAAATGGCACGAAAATCAAGAGTGTTCCATACCCTCTATAAAAAAACGGCACAAAAATCACAAATATTGCATATCCTCTATGAAAATTGTTGCATACACTCTATCAGAATATGGAAGGAAAATCACAAATGTTCCGTACCCTAAGTCAATTGGTAAAATTTGAAGCTGACTGGACTTAAGGGAAAGAAATTATGCAGTGAACAAAGATTTTAAGCAGAGAGGCTATTTTTGACCTTGATACTTGACCTAGAAACTTTGTTCAAGGCCACTGCACATCTATTGACTAGTGGCACTCTGTGAGTGAAGTATGAGCCACATTGGACCACAAGGAGAGAAGATATGCTCCGGACAAGGATTTTTCATATAATTCTGCTATGACCTTAACCTTAGACCTAGAAACATGGTTCAATGTCACTGCACATCCTTTACCTAAAGGCACTCTGTGGATGAAGTATGAGCCAGATTAAGCCAAGGCGAGAGAAAATATGCTCCGAACAAAAATTTAAATAGAGGCTAATTTGACCTTGACCCTTGACCTAGAAACTTTGTTCAAGGTCACTGCACATCCATTGACCAGTGGCACTCTGTGAGTGAAGTATGAGACACATTGGACCAAGAAGAGAGAAGATATGCTCCGGAGAACGATTTTTCAAATAATTCTGCTTTGACCTTAACCTTAGACCTACAAACACGGTTCTGGGTTACTGCACACTCTTTACCAAAAGGCACTCTTTGGGTAAAGTATGAGCCAGATTGGGTCAAGGAGAGAGAAAATATGCTACGAACAAAAATTTATATAGAGAAGCTATTTTTGACCTTGACCTAGAAACTTTGTTCAAGGTCACTGCACATCCATTGACCAGTGGCACTCTGTGAGTGAAGTATGAGCCACATTGGACCAAGAGGTGAGAAGATATGCTCCGGACAAGGATTTTTCATATACGATTAATTCTGCTTGACCTTAACCTTAGACGTAGAAACATGGTTCAAAGTCACAGCACACCCTTTACCAAAAAGCACTCCGTGGGTGAAGTATGAGCCAGATTGGGCCAAGGAGAGAGAAGATGTGCTCCGGACAAGAGATTTCGGACGGATGGACGGAAGGACAGACTGATCACTGTAGGGCGCCCGCAGAGCGGGGCTCTAATAATGTATTAGCAACTTGATACACACGAGACAGAGACAGTAACCTTATAAACTCTTCTTGGAAGAAACATAGGATGCAAGTGAGAAAAGGACACCTGCTCCTGTAGTCGTAATACCTTTTTTTTTACCCATGCCAGTCATTTTCATAAAGGAATGAGCCCTTGGGCCACAATGCTCACCTAAGTAAACTCTTTGGCCTTGCTGTTCTTCAAAAGTTTTCTCTCAATTCACGTGAATTTTTTTGTCATTGCATTTTTGGTCTTGCTGCATGTTCTGGAGAAGTTCCTGAAAGATTTATTCTTGTATAATAGTACATGCATTATGTAAAATTCGATTCCCGATTTCAGTCTACTCTTAGTCCCAAGTCTCAACAATTAGTTGATCTACACAGTTTTTTATACAGTTCTTCAAAGTTAGTTACTTAAAAACTTGAATCCACACAACTTAGAAATGTTTGCATTTAAGCATAAAATAGTTTGGCTCTGCCACTCTAGAATTTTTTTTTATTGATTTTTTTTTATATATTCCTATGTAAAACTCTTTGATCCCTTCTTGTGGCTCCAACCCGGTGCCATGATTTGAATAAAAGCGTATCTGCACTGCCTCAGGATGCTGACATATTCATGTCATTAATCAAAGCTTTGTTGTTGTTGAATGGAAGTTTTTTAAGTTTCCCCCTAGATATTCATACTGCAAAACTTTAATCCCCTATTGTGGTCCACTCTACCACCAGGGGCCATGATTTGATCAAACTTAAATCAATCAATGATTCTTGAGAAGTTTTTTTGTTGCTCAGTTACCCAAGTTTATTGTACAATTATTTGAAAATTTTCAGCTATGCCGCATGACTAGATGGCCCAGTATATCAAGTAATACACCGAAACTTGCAGAGAGTGGTAAGGTAATTACTCTTGATAATTGAAAATTCCATACATTTTTAATAAAATGAATTCTTCACAAACAGGTAAAATATAACAAGAATAAATAATTTATTTTAACAACAACAACAACATCAACAAATCTGAAAAAACAAGATGTGTTTGCGAAACACTGATGCCCCTGTATAGCGACTTATAGCGAAGATTAAACTTTCTCAAATCCAAATCAAACATGTTGGTACCAAAAGTAAAAAAGGCTTATCTCGAGGAATATACCAGTGAAATACGAAAACCCTAGCAGCAACCATTGAAAAGATACGGAAAAAGTTCAAGTTTTACAAAAGTAAGTCAAACATATAGGTCAAGGTCAAATGGTCAATATTAATGGTCCAAAGGAAATACATTTGAAATATGAAAGCCCTAGCACCAAGCGTTTAAAAGTAATAGCCAAGGTTAAACTTTTTCAAAAGTTAATCAATCTACAAGGTCAAAAGGTCCAAGTTGTTTGTATCTGAAGGAAGGTCTTATCACAAGGATTTCATATGGGAAGTATGAAATCCTTGCCACAAAGCGTTAAAAAATTATGGCCAAAGTTAAAACTTTTCACAAGTAGGTCAAACTCCTAGGTCAAGGTCAAAGGGTCAAAGTTGTTGGTATCCAAAGGAATGCCTTGTCACATGAATTACACTTGTGGAGTATGAAAGCCCTAGCATCAACTGTTCAAAAGTTATGACCAAGGTTTAAGCTGGGTAAAATTTTGCAAAACTGGGTCAAACTCCAAGGTCAATAAGTCAAAGTTGTTGATATCAAAGGAAGGTTCTGTCACAAGAATTACGTATGTGATGTATGATTGCCCTAGCACCAACCGTTCAAAAGCAATGGCCAAGGATAAAGTTTTTCAAAAGGAGGTCAAACTCCCAGAGCAAGGTCAAAGTTGTTAGATCCAAAGAAAGGCCCTGTTTCAAGGATTACACAGATGGAGTATAAAAACCCTAGCACCAACTGTTGAAAAGTTATGGCCAAGGTTTAAGTTGGGTAAAATTTTGCAAAACTGGGTCAAACTCAAAGGTCAAGGTTAAAAGGTGAAATATGATGGTACCCAAAGAAAGACTTGCCACAAGGAATACATGTACACTTGTGAAATATGAAAGCCATAGCTCCAAATCAAAAGTTATGGGGCCATCATTAAAAATATCTTTGTTTCCCCTAACCCGACCCCAAAATCTCAATTTGGGTCGGTAGGTAGGTAAATTATTTTTTTTCTGACAGCAGTTTTGGAAATACATTCTGAAAAATTGAATAATATCTTTATAAATAAGAAAGAACAAAAGAAACCGATTTTTTTAAAACCGAATATCATACAAATGAAGCGACATGTATGGTAAATTAATTCACAAATATTATTCATTTGAACTTAAGAAATATCTCAGACCAGCGTAAATTTATTGAAATCGAATATTTACAAAAACACAAGATTCGCAAATACAGAACCATCGGACATTCGAGTACATTTTTCAAACCTACTATGATTTTCGAGTACTTACACAGACAAAATGTCAAGGCCTTGCGTGGCGCAGTAATTCTAGTATTTCCTTTTGGAGTCACGACGTAATTCAGGAGCTTATTCTAAGTCACAGGTCCCGACGTGGGACGTGGAGACCGGTCAGTCGAATAAGACCGTAAAAAACGTAGGTCCAGTGTCGGAGTCTACATGTAGATGGCACGTAAAAGATCCCTTACTGACGCTTAATGATCAATGGCCAGAAGTGCCGAGTAAAAGTCTAAATTAGGAGCCCTCCACCGGCTCAACAATTTCTAAAAGTATTTTAAAGCAAAGAAACAACCTGTTTTCAAGGGCCTAACTAAAGAAAATAAACTGGACGTCTCAGGAAGCCGTACCATAAGCAAATTTTAAAGATTTCAACACTATTTGGAAATAGTGTACATGTATAAACACATCTTCGCTAGCCAAGGGTTTCTGATACGCTACTCTCCTCATAAACCCTTGGCATACGGTGATGACAAAAGACGGGATTGTTTTCGTCACGTGATCACGATTCTTACCAGATACGCACAGATTGCGTCATCGACAGAAATAAAAAGCGTATTTAAAAAAAATAATGTTTTTAAAGAATAATCAACAAGAAGGTAATGAATTATGTTAATTTGTTATTTAAACATGTTAAAATGCAAAACTACACCTTCAGTATAGATTCTTAATCACATATTTTGCACGTAGATTAGGATATTGGATGACACCATATAACTATTCATAGAATGACATGTTATCTTACGGATCGTTGTTTACTTGCATTTTTCATTCCCGATATTAAAGAGTCAAGATATATCCCGAACGCAAATATCGTCATTTACAAAAAACAATCGCTGATTGGTCGAACGATGTCGATCAACTCCAATCACAACTTGAGAAAAAAATCCCAACTTTTTTTAACACCGTATGCCAAGGGCTTATGAGGAGAGTAGCGTATCAGAAACCCTTGGCTAGCGAAGATGGTATAAACAATGTATAATTCAACCAAACCATATCTAAAATGACTAAAGTTTCATATATCTAATTTGATAGTCACGGAGTTAATACCCCATAGATGAAAGGAATAAAGAAACGACATCTGAATTTTATTTATCAAGATGAAATAATCATACAAAGATATATTTACAACTCCTATGTCCTATATATAGTAAAAATGGGATCATACATGAACTGTTTATTAGATCGAAACGAATCAAATGCAGTGAAAGTTTTGATATGTATTCACAAGGAGCGCCCCTCATCTGCTCATGAGGAAGGCTTTGCTATGCGTACTACGTACGTTAATTTTAGAAGACACATTTGTAAATACCATCTTAACACTCCTTAGTCATGGTACATTAATTCACGAGATGTCTCAAGAGGGTAGGATTCTAATAAGTTAAAGATGTATATCAAGATTGATACATCGCCGTTGTTTTATAACACGAACTAACCCTCTGTGGCCACATGTTGTGGGCACCAAACAAAAGCCGCCGTTCTGATAAAAACGGATTTTGATGAAATTGTATTTTATATAAAGTTGATTAACAATAAAAAAAAATATTTAAATAATCTGATTTAAAAAACTTTTCAGTCGGCACGATTTAAGTGGGTAGGTCGCGTTAGAGGAAACAAAGGTAATTTTTATTTTGGCCTGGGCAAGGTTAAAGTTTTTGCGGACAAACAGACAGACGGATGGACAGGGCAAAAACTATATGCCTCCGAATCTTCGATTACGGGGGCATAAAAATATTGCAAAGTATTATAAGAACGCTTGAGCATCTGAAGGGCTGTTATTATCAAATTTGCTTTTCAGAATAAATAAAATGACATTTGTGATAATATACAGTCCTATTAGAGTTTTTTTCCCAAACAAAAGGAAGGTTTATATTACATTCCCCCTCTACAAATTTCATCTATTAACATTAGTGGTGAACTGTCCTCCTCATTGAAGACTTTAGAACAATATCTTGGTGATGATCTGTCTTCATCACTTTGTTCATTACTTGCAGACTCATCGTTCTGAAATTTCTGCAAATATAAAGTGTTATATAATACAATTAAAGTTTAAAAACAAATTTAAATGCTTTCTCAATAGTACAGGTGTATAAAAAGTAAATAAAGTTAACATTAATATAATATATCAAGAAAACAAATCATTACTTAAGCTTTTTAAAAATTACCTTGTAAGTCATAATTAAAAATCTGTGTATCGTTTGGAATGAAGGTCTTTCAATTGGATCACTCTGCCAACAGCAACACATTAAATCATATCTGCAAGGTTATTTTACAATCATTAATACATTGTGAATACGTCCCGCAATATGAAAGATACATGTACTTGGGGACATGTATTCTAAGAAATGAAGACTGTACAATTTCACTTACATGGATGGAGTACAAAGGGCAGGCATTTCTAATCGACCTCCTTTAGTTACAAATGTCATCACTGCATTGTTTTGGAGACCAGGATAAGGAATAAATCCAGAAGTGAAAATTTCCCACATTAAAACGCCAAAAGCCCTGTTATGTAAAATAAAATAAATAAGTGAGTTTTACAAAATTTGTTTAAGTGATATGTGTTATGTTTTGCAAAAAGAAAAAGTTAAAACCTATAAACTCCGCCCCCTTCCGTTTCACTTATAAGGAACTAAACAGCACTTTTACTTTAAAGAACCTCAATTGGGTGGTAAAAATGCCAACAAAAAGGGAAACATGAACTATTCTTAGAAGAACAAAAACATTATGAACTTCTTTTCATAAACGTTTTAAAGAGAAAATTGCTAGTACTTAGAGAAACAACAAGCAAATTCAAAGAATTATGAATTGGTTGGGATGCAATTATTTAAGGAATCTTGTAACTTTCTTGCGTCCTTCAAGCTCGTCGGTCAAGGTCATGAAGTAAAAAAAATTAATATACCTTTCTAAAAGGTGTTCTCATAGGTAATGTACATGTACATGCAAAATATGAAAGCTTTATCGTCTCTCAATCAAAAGATATTACCAATGTATTAAAAAAATTGAAAAAGACTGTACGTTGAAATCTAAGGTCAAAGTCACGACGTAAAAAACAAAAGTTTATCTGAAATGTCTTGAAACAGGTAATGCACATGTAAAAAAAATACATGCCGTATCTTTTTTTATTCAAAAGATTAAAAATTAATTTTTTTGAAAATTAGGTCAAACTTCAAGGTCATGGGATTGAAAATCGTAGTCCATTTGGAAACGTCCTGTCACAGGTAATGCAGATGTCAAATATGAATGACCTTTCTTTTCTCCTTCTAAAGTTTGCAGCAATAATTTTTTTGAACAATACGTTAAACTTGAAGGTCAAGTTAAGGGGTCAAATATCACAGCACAATTCTAAACTTATTGTCACCGGTAATGCACTTGTCAATATGAACGCCCTTTCTCCTCTCATTCACAATTTATCACCAACGTTACATTCATGAAAATTAGTCAACACTTCAAGGTCAAAGGGTCAAAAATCATAGATGTTCGGAAATGTTTTGTCAAAGGCAATGTACGTTTTGAATAGAAATGCTTTATCTTTTCTCTTTCAAAAGTTAAAATCAATGTCATATTTTTGAAAATAAGTCATGGGGTAAAAAAATCATAGTATATATCGAAAAGTCTTGTCACAGGTAATGTACATATGAAATATGAAAGCCAAATTCAAAGTTATGATCAAGGTTAAAGTTTTTGTGACAGACAGACAGACAGCTAGATGAATAAAACATCGCTCGCGAAAGCGGGAGACAATAAACCACTCTACCAATTCGCTTTCATCAAATACAACCATATTTACCAAACATCTGATTTAGAGGTAAAATATCCCTCAAGAAACGCCTCGGGGGGCATCCATCGAATGGGAAGTAACGCCGTCCCCTCCTTTCTATAATAGTCCTTCCTAGAAATTATAATACAGAAATTATAATACAACATACAGAAATGTTGTTAATGACTTGGAATAAAGTCCAACATTATTTTAATAATAAACACTACTTACAGCAAAATATCTTTGGCCAGGCCAAAATCTCCGAGTTTTGCAACCCGATTGGGTCCTAAATTTGTAAGCAGACAATTACGAGCTGCTATATCTCTGCAAATAATCAAAATAAATACATTATCAATAGTTTTAAATGTGATTTCAAAATCACTGATAACAATTTATTCCATTACCTGTGAACAAAATGAAGAGATTCCAAATAATTTAAGCCACACGCTACATCAGCAGCTAGACGGAGAAGTTCAGACATCTTTAGGGTCGATTTCTGTGTCTGTAGATTGTGCACATAAAGATTTAATACATTTACCGTATGTGATTGTCCATAATTTCGGTACTGAAAATATTTCTGTGTTACATATATATATTCTTATTTGTATAAATCACCTTGAAGTAAATTATTTCTTTAAATTGTTACGCCCCTACCTTCATTAGTAATAATTACTACATATTAAGGTCTAAAAGTCGAAGAAGTAGCAATTAGCTAATTGCTGTATTTAATTAATTGCTATAAATTATGCAATGAAGAAGTACCTCTTTATCTTTGGTGTTTCGTAGAAATGTTTTCAAATCGCCACCCAACATCAATTCAAGAAGTATCATATATATTCCATTAGAAGATGAGATTCCCAAACATTTAACAATGTTATTGTGCTGAAATTTGCTGCAAAAACATATAAATTATAAATTGTATGAAAACTCATTTTTTATGATCTATTTAGCATTTAAAATAACTTTATTCCATAGACTTAGTACCGAAGAATTGAGGAGTGCCCTTAATAGTTTGCAATTCTATGAAGGTAAAACATATCTTTCATCCTTGTTTGAGTAGAAAGAGTGTCACTGTAAATAAAATTAATCGTCAGCACTTCTTAATTTCTAGTATGAATTGTATCCTGTGATGATAAGAGTTAGTACAATAATTAACATGCGTCAATATAATAATTTAATATTTACCATCAGACACGGGTTATGTATAAGAAATCATAATCCCTAAATTTTGTAAAAAATGGTTTTATCTATATCAATCTTTATAGGAATTAAAGAACTGATTTTTTTTTTTTACAGCTATAGATGAGGGGTAATGAGAAGGCTAGAAACACGTCGGAAGATGACATTTTATTAGAATTTTAGATTTTTAGGATCATACCTCATGTATTGTCAAATTGTCATTCCTAGCAAGCTAGATAAACTGAAGAATGTCAAAACAAGTTGGAGTTTGTGTAAGATCTTTAAATAGGAATTGTCTTTTTTATGTAAAATTAATTAAGTTATTAAGTCACTTGGTGTCCTTTATGTAATGTTTTGCCCCATAAATAAATAAATATAGACATATATTGTCCTTGATATGGTGTACATGAATTAAGTGCCAGAGTACTAAGAAAAGGATATTTTTAGTACAAATAATAACGAATTTATTCTGAGGTATTTGTTTATCATAGTATTTCACGTAGATGTAATAATTTTAACAAAACATGATGTTTTTATAAATATCATGATACGAACAATAACATAATCAACAATGAATCAACAATGAAATTGATTTCTGTTTCCTTATAAGGACATGAACTGTTCAAAACTATGTAATAGTTACGAAGACTTACAATAAAATCAAAGCCTCCAACAAAAATTCGTCTTGGGATTGTTGATCTGCACTTTTTGATAATCTCTTTAAATAAAAAAGAGAGCTAGATAGTTATGGTAATAAGAAGATAGATCATGAAGCTAATGCTTCTACAGAGAGCTCTAATTAACACTCCCGATAGAAAACAAGGAAATCCCATCACGATAAATTATTAATACGGAAAACTAATACACACTAAGCCCTGATAGTGATCCTAAATAACAAGGCGCAGCCTTTCAGTAAAATGCGTTAATTACAGTTCAATGGACCTAGCCTCTGTATTTCTAAACGCTATAACTTATAAAATATTTAACCCCAAAGCTTAATGGGAGGATAATATTCTGCTTAGTCATAAGCTTTAAAAAAAATAAACGCAAGGAAAATTTATTATAATGCATATTAATTCAAAGTTTGTGTTACTTGTTTGTAATTTGACTTAGGTAGACCCACTTAAAATGTTTTCTTTGCTACAAAGGGGTTGTGCAGAACAAGAGGAAATATAAACTTGTGCCAAGTACAAGTAACTGCATTGACATGATTCTTGTCCATAGGAAAAGGGATGATTGACATCAACCTCGCTTTAATGTTTAAAATGTCTTTCTGGTACTGTATTATAAAAAAAAATCAATTTTAACTGTTCAGTAGGAAAAGGGGTGATTGACATCATCGCTTTAATGTTTACAATGTCTTTCTGGTACTGTATTATAAAAAAAATCAGTTTCAACTATTCAATAGGAAAATGGATGATTGACACCAACCTCGCTTTAATGTTTACAATGTCTTTCTGGTACTGTATTATAAAAAATTTAAGTTTACAGGAAGAGCACATGTATATAAATCAGTATATCAACTTCATTTTTAATACAAAATTTCCATCAGTATACCTTTATAGCTATATCAGTATTTTTTCCATTTCTCTCTCTACCTAACAGTATTCCTCTAAAGACCTCTCCAAAGGCTCCTCTTCCCAGCAACCTTAAGACAGTGAATGGATGAAAGCTTACACAGAACAAATTGTCATGTTTTTACTTTACACAAGCTGGTTGATTTTTAAAAAAAAAAAATATATAGCAAATGCAGGTACTATTATAATGTAAATTTTATCTTTATTTATGAAAAAGAAACCCACTAATTTATATGAAGTACTTACGTATGTATTTGAATTTGCGATTTGTCTATATCAACAATCGTTCCCTTCAACAATCTGTGACTGTACCATCGATAATTTGGGTTCCCTTCTGTTAATATACCTTCTAGAGTTTTTTCTACAGTCATTGCTGCTAAAAAGTCATGTATTGACACTTTCTTGTCAGTAGAGTCAGGGGACTTCAAATCTAGGCAAAATCTTCGTCTTTTTCTGGCAATACCTGTGTAATGATATTGTAATATTTAATTTATACATGATCGAACAAACAATACTTTCAAACACCTACAATATTTTAGGGGGAATGACTTGTAAAAAGAACAGAGAAGTTTTCATATTCGCAGATGATTTAAGTCTTATGCATATTCTCCTAATAAAGGTAACTGATTTACAGATCTGATCTCTTTCAAACACGTCATGTTTCAGGTAAAATGATATATATATATATATATATATATATATATATATATATATATATATATATATATATATATATATATATATATATATATACACTCGTATATGTATCCTTTGATATACGTTGATATACATATAGGTAAAGATGAACTGAAACTGATGCTATTGCTCGGAATAACAGTGTAATATATAATTAACATAAGTAATAGGAATACTTGCCAAGTGAGATTACGAATAGAATGAGTAAACAAAGGACCAAAACTGCAATAACCATAAAAAGGCTAGGTTTTACATGAATCCCATCTCTTTGAGTAAAATCTAAGGGAATCAGTTCTGAAGATGAGGAATCTAAAAATGAAAATAATGATACTTTAAGGAATAGAAATTCTATCATTTCGTTAAAGGTCGTTATATCTAAACAAATCTTTCGGAATTATGTCATTACCATATCGTTTAAAATATGTCTTCAAAATTCAGAGTAAAGTATGTGTGCTTGAAAGGTTTTTGAAGTTTTATTGTAAATTAATTTGAAAGTCTCTGATCAAATCTCCAGACATGGTTTAAATGAAATACAGAACAGGCCTTGAGAAATACAATTAGCATATCGACGATTTTTTTCTGCTCTTACTTTGGAAACAACTCTCTGAAAAGGCTATTTTTATGATCCCTAGAAACTTCATACTATCCAGATGAACAGTGCTGAATTCAAGTTTATATCTGAAAGACAAATGAACTGATCAATTACCTATCGCTTTATAAATGTAAATACACCAAAGTTTACGATACATTTTTTAAATCGATTATATTTCATTGTGAAATCATTATAATATAGCTCGCCAACAAAAATAGATATTAGAGACTCGGATCGAACAATTTTTAGTATTTGAAATCAACATTTTGCTACATGTATAAACTGTTTAGAGTGGATGATCACCCCTCAAATAATTGTTTCATCAAACTTTAATTTGTGACTTTTGAAGTTAAACTGTGCCTTGTGTCAAGGATCACAACCCTTGTAGCACGCAAAAGATCCTTTCTCTGCATGGTCTCCAAAAACGTAAGCTCGCAGAGGGCCACCAGAGAAACCAAAAGCTTTCAAAAATAATTTTCACTGCCGAAATTTGACTGAAATACTGCCGATTCGGCGATTAAATTAACCATCAATCAACTTACTGTTATTACTATTACTCTTTATTTGATTTTGAAGGTGTAAACATCTGACAGGTAAATTAATGGCGTTTTGAAAACAGAAAACAGAATATGTTCCTCTGAGTAATATGTTCTCATCTAAATAAGTGGATTTAATAATCAGTGTTTCAAATTTTACTTTAATAATCTCGAAAGAAAGCCTCGGTGGGGCCAAAATAAAAAATACCTTTGTTTCCCCTAACGCGAACGACCCAATTAGAACGCGCCGACTGGAAAGTTTTTTTTTTTTTTTCATAAGATTATTCCAATATTTTTTTTTATATTTATCAACTTTTATAATATAGAATTCTGCTTTATCGGAACGACTGATTTTGTTCTGTGATTTTCAAGTGTTTGTTGGAAACAAAATGGCGCCCACAACATGTAGTCACGAAGGGTTTACTTAGTTCGTCACTTCATGTTTTAAAAGAAAGGCGACGTGTTCTGACACTTTCCGGATTATTATGTTCTATTTTTAGGTTCTATGTTTTATATGCGCCTAACGTTAGAGAAACGTTACGTATACGTTCAGCAGCATGGCATGGCTGCTCACGACTTCGGTCGTCTTATTTAATTGCAGCTGAGTATGTGTTCCCATGGTGTAAGTAATGTTATTTGTGTATTTTGTATATTGTGTATGCTCTGTGTGCGGTTAAAATTATTTTGAATAATAGTTTTGCAATGTTTACATTATTTCCGGTGAGGAAATTCGAACGTGTGCCATCATTTCGTAAAGTGGTCAATATGAGAAATTATATTTGTAAGTTTATTCAGAAATGTGTAAGCAATTCTGATGTTATTATTATGAGCATACTGTGATGTGTTGTTTATTTGTTTATTTTCAGTATTTTACCCTTTCATGTCTTGTCATAAATAAACAGAAAACTGTTTATTGTTGTTTACTTTGGACCTGGCAAGACAAGGGTAACGTCTGCCCGTGTACGCAGCATTGAGGCAGAACACGACGTTTCAACCTTATGCCTTTAGCATATAGGAATCCTACACTCTTGAAACACTCTGTTAATAAAATAAAATATAACATACATGTACAATGACTTATTAAGAGTGTTTCGGTTGTATTTACTTACCTGTCTTGTCGCCCGCGTGGCGCAGTGGTAGAGCGTCCGCTCTCGAGTCGCGGAGTAAGGAGTTGATCCTTACGTCGGGGGTTTGAATCCCACTGTGGGACGTGGAGACCGGTCCTTCGGATGAGACCGTATAAACTGAGGTCCTGTGTCGTAGTAGATGCTGGCACGAAAAAGATCCCTCACTGCTCAATGGCCCTCAGTGCCGAGTATAGGTCAAAATTTTCAGCTCTCCACCGGCAAGTGGTGGCCTCTCCATATGAGTGAAAAATTCTCGAGAGGGACTTTAACAATATTCAAACTTACCTGTCTTAAAATTAAGGTGCGTAGAGAGCATTCTTAGGCCCGTAGGCCCTCCTCAGGATACCCCTTATGAGCAGACAAGGGGCCCACCTTGTGAACACACCAATCATTTTCACTGCATTTTATTTAATTTGAGTTTTATCTTATAAACAGTTAATCAGTATTCCAATGTTTACTAAATGGGACCAATGTAAATAAGTCTGCATATTTCATCCTGATGAATAGAATTCAAACGTCCTTTCTTCATGCCTTTTATTCATGGGTTAAACTTCGTGACTTTGACATTGTGTATGACATTTCTTCATTTTAAGATATGGTTTGTCCCAATTAAATATTGTTACCATACTTTTGCCAAATAGATTTGAAATTATGATACAAGCTTCCTGAGACGTCCGTGTATTTTTCTTTAATAAGGCCCTTGAAGATTGGTTTTTCTTTGATTTGAATTCCTTTGATAATTGTTGGGACAAAAACATTTATTTAAACATTTGTCTGGTGAAGGGCTCCAAATTTAGACGTACGCAGCACGTTAGGCCATAGAGCAGTGAGGGATCTTTTTCGTGACAGTATCTACTGCGACACTGGACCTAATTAAGGTTTTTACGGTCTCATTCGAAGAACCGGTCTCAACGTCCCGCATTTGGATATGAACCTGCAACTTCAAAATAGCTCCTTACGTCGAGACTCCACAGCGAAATGCTCTAGAACCACTGCACAATTTGAAGCCCTTGAAAAAGTACATTGCATATGTAAGCACTGAAAGCTGATAGTAGGTAAGAAAAATATACTCTGATGAATAGTCGCTGCGTAGTCGAGAATCTTTTAAACAGTTGTATTCGATTTTAACGAATTTACTCTGGTATGAGAAGTTCGAATTGAATAATAGTTGTGAATTAATTTACCTTAAATGTTGAGTTTAAACGGCAATTGTATGGTATTCTAGCTGTTAACAAAGCACTTTCTTTTGTACGTAACTTATTTATAAAAGTATCATTCCATTAAATTTTAGAATGTATTTTCAAAGCTGCTGTCCAAAAAAATTATTTGCCTACCTACGTACCCATCTTGAGAGTTTAGGGTCGGGTTAGGGAAAACAAAGATATTTTAATGATGGCCTAACAAACCTTTCTTAGAAATTTTCTCATATTGCAGCACCAATAGCATTAAAAAGTGAAGGATTAGGCCAAAATAAAAAATATCTTTGTTTCCCCTAACGCGACCGACCCAATTAAATCCCGCCGACTGAAAAGTTTTTTAAAGAAGATTATTCAAATATTTTTTTTTTTAATGTTTATCAACTTTTATAAAATACAATTTCATCAAAACCCGTTCTTATCAGAAATTCAGAATGTATTTTCAAAGCTGCTGTCAGAAAAAAATAAATATTTACCTACCTACCTACCCAACTTCAGATTCTAGGGTCGGGTTAGGGGAAACAAAGATATTTTTAATGATGGCCTTATGGTTTTGTTTTAAATCACTCAAGGAAATACGGAGAAAAATGTGGATTGAAAGCAATGAACTTTTCTAAATGTCACTAGCATGCAGCGATTTTATATCTGGGTAATTGTAAGTAAATTGATACACTTAATGTTATTAGGATTCATATTGTGCGACTTTTGCTCTTTACCTTTGAGATATGTTTGAGACAGGAAAGATATAGGTTTGCAGAGAAGGTGTGGCGTTGATTTCCGCTGGAATTGTTCTGTTACTGCATTTATTGTCAAGAAAACAGATTCTCCAGTACCATCGCAAGTTTCCATACGTTGTTAACAGTATCTGTAAAGGGGTAATATGAGTAAAATTCAATATTTCCCACTTTAATTAACTTTTTGATTCCTAATGCTTATCATTTTTTTTTTTTTTGGCAAGGATTTAATTCTGTAAAAAAAGAGTCTTGTACATTGTGCTCAATAGTGACAATACTAGTATTACAGTATTACTAGTATTACATCCGTCACGGATATCTTGAAAGCAAATTTAAAGAAATAATTACTGTCTTATAGCTCACAATAAATAGAGATAAACTGAGATTTTCATGACCTAGATAAACAAGAGAAGGGTGATGTTATCTGACATTTGATTATTGCTTCAAAAGAAATGTTTCAATGTTTGACGTATTTGGAAACCGGTTCAATAATACCATTTATCTACGGCATTTAAACATCCAATATCACAAATGGCGGTTTGATTTTAATGTTAATCAACGAATGTTTTATTCTTTCTTCTCAAGAGATTGCAGAGTTAATTCATTAGGGTTTATCATGAAGGTAATGTCTGTAAACCTCCTCAAAAAGAAATCATGATGCAATTAAGGTCTTTTGGAATACAAATGTAACACAATATTTACATGTAACACCTCCAGGACAGACGCTGATATTGTACACTTTATTGTAGATACCAGTACTGTGTAATTGTCATAAAAATGTTTTGTTTTGTTCAAAAACTATATTTTAAAAAAAGTAATTACTTTAGCAACAAACTAAACTGAATTTTATTGGTAAATATTAGCACTACATGTAGTTGGCTGTACAAATGCACTCGTAAGCTTTTATTTTCACGCTCGTGCATTTGTACAGCAAATTCACGCTAATATTTTTCAATATACATGCAAGTTCAATAGTAGCCCTATAATACTGAGTTTCATAATTTGCATAATTGATAAATTAAGATAATGAATTACTGTGAAGGGAAATTACAATGAAGATTGTCTTACTTTTCAAAAATATTTACAGAGAATTTATGCACAAGTAAATTTCCTGTTTCTCGATTAAAATATGAAATTTTATATGAAGGATGGTATGTTTGTCACTTAAACTGAATGAGCATTGACTATATAAATTATTTTGCACATTAAGGAACCAAACTAAATGGCGAATTGCGCATTTTATGAGAGTTGATCGGAAGACTTTCAAAATATAGTCAAGCTCTTATAACATCAATGTTCATAATTCTTATTGTACAAATCTATTAATTTAAAACCTATATTTTTCTGCTCGTGATTAAATAATTATTAAAGATGTCAACAGAAGACTGCTTAATTAATACATGATCATAAGAATGCTCATCTGGAACCATCTTATCATTAACAGAATGACTTAAAAATATAAAGTTGTTAAAAAAACAAATTACATGTATAACATTATGTGTCAGAATTCCATACAGTGCATCAGTTTTAGTTTTCATATGTGCTAACAAAATGAAAATAATAATAAAATGAGGTACATTCTGTATTATTATAGCAATATAAGAAAAAGTCGTTTTACAATTTCATAAAAAGAAAGCTACACACCAAAGAGTTACCCCGCTTCATACATCGAACTATATAGCATTACTGAAACAAACAGAACTGTGACATTGATTAATCAAGAAAGCAGTTTCAACGACTATAAAATTTATTTGAGTTCAATGTATATTTTTCAGTTCCTAAAATGTCTTTCAGCATATTACACATTGACGAAATATACCAGGGAATGAACTACATGTATAGCAGTGATGGTTACGTTATGCAATTGCTGTCAGTACTGGATAGTTAGCTCGACACTTACTTGTCAGTGTTGTAATATAATAACATTTAGTTGCAATGTTTTACTTTCAGTATCAATGGTGAGCTCCCGACATTGTTGTACTTGGGGGGGGGGGGGGGGGGGTCTTGTACCTTTAGGGTGTATTTGATTAAGCGACACGAGTTACACGAGTTACTAGAGTTGTAAATAAAATAAGACACGGGTGACCAACTCGTGCTACGCGAGTATACTCCTCAGTTTACCTGGAGTAACAGGTGAAAAAAAATGGCGGGAAGTGAAGTCGCAATGTAAATGTGAAAACTGTTTCTGCATAAATTTGTCAGTGTTTGTATTAGAAATTTACAACGTCCATGAAAAAAGTCTTCAACATTATTTTGACATCTTTTTTTCCTAGATTAACCTCATCAATTTACTTTTGTGTTATCATTGACAATATTTTTTTTTTGACTATGCCTAATTATTGGATTATAAAAATGTCTATGTATATTGATCAATAAAATTATTTCTATACATTTAACGATCGTAACATAGATATGCCGTGTTAATTAGTTATATAATTCAGTTTCAAAATAATTACAGACTGCAATATAAGAGCAATGGCAGTTACATATACAAATCTTATAAATATGGAGGTCGCATCCCCAGAACCAGCTGGTTTGTTGTTTACAATAAATATGCACTTAAAAGGGTTATACCTATATGGAAATTACCTTGTCAGCCTTCAATCATAATATTGTCAAGGTTTACTTCCAACCGGCGTCACAGTTTTTTTTTGGGTATAGATCTATACAAATTTATACAAGTATATGTCTCTCACAACCTATGACTAAAACTGGATTAATGAAAAATGTCAGCAATAGTCCTTTTCTGACCAATTATTAAACCATGCAAAAAGTTACAGGGGGTATAATATTTAATATTTTTGACACTTCTGTATTATTCCTTATTTGCTTAATACATACGTATTATCACAATTTTCTTACAGTATACTCAGAAAATCACAATGGTGTGGTAGGGCGCTACAGCGCCTTTATTTAAGAACAAATTTGCTTTGTATGGCGCTTCTATACATGATGAATATAACAAACATTGTAACATATAATAAATACATATATACAGATATAAAAACTTTTTCTAGGTCACCTGAGTCACTCAGGTGACCTATTGCTATCTGTTTTCGTCCGTCGTCGTGCGGGTGTGCGTCGTGCGTAAACTTTTCAAATTTTCGACTTCTCCTCAAGAACCACTGGGCCAATTTCAACCAAACTTGCCACAAACTATCCTTGGGTAAAGATGATTCAAGTTTGTTCAAATGAAGGGCCACGCCTTCTTCCAAGGGGAGATAATTAAGAATTAGTGAAAAATTAATTGTATCTTTTAAAAATCTTCTTCTCAAGAACCACTGGACAAGGTGAGATGAAATTTATATGGAAACATCCTCAGGTAGTGTAGACTCAAATTTGTTCAAATCATAACCCCCGGGGATAGGGTGGGGCCACAATGGAGGATCAAAGTTTTACATAGGAATATATAGGAAACATCTTTAAAAATCTTCTTCTCAAGAACAGCTAAGCCCCGATTGCTCATATTTATATGGAAGCATCTTCAGGTAGTGTAGATTCAAGTTTGTTCAAATCATGACCCCTAGGGGTAGGGTGGGGCCACAATTGATGATCAAAGTTTACATAGAAATATATAGGAAAAATCTTTTAAAATCTTCCTCTCAAGAACAGCAAAGCCATGATGAGTCATATTTATATGGAAGCATTTTCAGGTAGTGTAGATTCAAGTCTGTTCTAATCATGACCCCCGGGGGGTAGGGCGGGGCCACAATGGATGATCAAAGTTTACATAAAAATATGGAGGTAAAATCTTTAAAAATCTTCTTCTCAAGAACAGCAAAGTTGTGATGAGTCATATTTATATGGAAGCATCCTCAGGTAGTGTACATTCAAGTTTTTTTCAAATCATGACCCCCTGGGGTAGGGCGGGGCCACAATGGATGATCAAAGTTTTCCATGAGAATACATTGGAAAAAATCTTCTTCTCCAGAACCACTAGGCCAAGAAAGATGAAATGTGGGAACATCTTCAGGTAGTGTAGATTCAAGTTTGTTAAAACCATGATCCCCAGGGGTAGGGTGGGCCATAATGGACAATGAAGGTTTTACATTGGAATATGTAGGAAGAACAGCAAAGCCATGATTGGTTATATTTACATGGGAACATCCTTAGCTAGTATAGATTCAAGTTTGTTCAAATCATGACTCTGGACTCTGGGGATAGCTTCTTTTATCAGTTTATTTTATACTCTATGGATCTTCTATTGATTGTTGTTTTATACTCAGGTGACCGTTAAGGCCCTTGGACCTCTTGTTTTCATTTCTTAACTTAAAAGCTAAATGCAAATATTTTCCGAAATTACAAAGCTCAGAAAAGGTTTGGACACTCAGTTATTGAACTAGTTTGAATGCGGATGTGTTTTTTCCCATTTATTAACTTCTCAATCTTTGTATAGAGGACAGATCAAAAACAAATGAAATTCATCTTCTATGTTAGTTTTACAAATTCACAAAATGTTCCTTTACAATATTTCTACGATGCCCAGTTTCAGTTGCAAGGTTATGTGAAGACATTCTTATTTTACTTATTTGTTTTTTTTATAAAGAGGAGTATTGATTTTCTTAAATAATATTGCAAGGTCAAATAATCTTCAACATGTCTGTAAAAAATCCATTTTGTTGAACAATTAATTTCAGCCATTAGGTTTTGTATGAAATTATCTGTTATTCTTTGTTTGATAATGGGAAATTGTTTATTAAAAATTTGTTTGTCCTGTTCAAACCAGATAAATCCAAGTCCATTTTCAAAAAGTTTTTCTTTGATATTTACAACCCAGTTGTCAGATTGTCTGCTGGAATACTCACATTCATTGAACAAAGAAAACACATTTTCAGGATACAATTGTTGGTTTTTGTTTTTGATCTGTTTTTATACACGCGCTGATATACTGTTTTACCTGCCATATTTAAATAAACACTGTACAACACGATCTGTTTTATTTTGATTTCTAGAGTTCAACTAGTAAGCATGCGCATTTTGAACACTAGTGTGACACGGGTTGTCTTAATCGAATACACTCTTAAGGATCTGATGGTATGGTCGTTACACTCATTTTAAGAATATCGTTACAAACACTTACTTGGCATATATTACTTCCACTTATGGGTGGTAATATTACCGTCTTAAAAGACGATGTAAACTCCTTGATGCTTGTGCAAAAGCTTTTTCGTGTTAATAACATCCATTCTGAAAAATAAATAAGGTTGAAATGATATGTTTACGATATTTCAACATGGACATGCAATCCGCAGGAAATATGCTTTTCTTTAGAAAATTAGTTTTTGTCAACCTTTTTTTTAAACATCATGACTGCGTGATTGATTTCATTCTAGCTAAATCGATCTTGTTGCGCAGAGAAAACATAAAGTAGAGACAAATTGAGAAGACAATATATATATTTAGAATTTTATCTCTAGATAACTTTTTATGTCTTTCTTTAAGTAAGAAACCATTTCTTTTTTTTTTATTCTTGTTAGTCTCACACAACGAGATCGTTATAATTAAAAATCCACATACGCATAATACAATACAGCGCGTATGAAGCAATTTCAGGGGGAGGGGGCTAAGCTTTTCAGTTGCTACCAAGCAAAAATTTCATGACAAGCAAAAACCAGAAGTCTCTGATGACACTGTAGTTCTACTGGTGTTTTCTTAATTAACGAAGGTAGAGAGCAATAAATAAAATAATGATCCTTGGTTTATAGTCTTTTTATGAGTCAAATTTAATTACAAAAGGACAGAAACTTTAGTAGAAGAGTTTCACAAACATTTTTATTTTTAGAAACCATGGCAACACTGTTCATTAAAATCATAAACCGATATACAGAATTATGTATCTTAGTGTAGTTTACTTGTCTATATTGAAATCGTACTAAGACTGTAGGAGGAGTAGCGTTTTGAAAGAATTTCAAAGAAACTTCGATACATTGTAGTTAGCAACCATGGCAACGTCTTTCATCGAAATCAAAAACCAATCTACAGAATTATGTTTATTAGTGTAGTCTACTTGACTATAATTTATATTGAAATCAGACCAAACGTAGCGTTTTGAAAGAATTTTACAGAAATTACAATTTTTTGGTAATCATGGCAACAACATTTCCTGGAATCAAAAACCGCTATACTGAATTATGTATCTTAGTCAATGACACTAATGAAAAGTCTACTAATGAATTAAATTATATTGCAATTGGACCCAAACTGCAGGAGAAGTAGCATTTTGGAAAATTGTTTACAGAGAAAAATACAAACACACGGATATCTTACTATCGCAAAAGCGCTTACGGTCTCTGACCAGTAGAGTTAAAAAAAAGGGGGGGGGGCACATCCATAAAGTCACTTTGTTTTCCATAGTATACTACATGTGTATACTATACATAGGCAAATTTTTTTTTTTGGGGGGGGGGGGGTCCCCCAGTTCCTACTGTAATACAATATCGCATATAGACAACAAAGATTACCGGTAGCTAATTGATTATATTTTTAATTATAAATTTATCTCACAAGCATAATACGAGTCAATATAGTGAAATTACCTTTTCGCATCAGAATGAATAACAATACTCATTGATACTTTTAAGGATAAACTGATTTACCATTAGTGTCTTTGTGTGGATCTCCGTGTGTCCGAGTAAGCCTGCAACCATTAAAGGATTCAACGAGGGGGCACACAGGGGTCGCTTCAAACGTACAATTTCTAAAAATCTCTGTGAACGAAAAGGTACCCTGTATATTACGTATTCAGAATTAAGAAAAAAAGGTTATGAGTACAAGATTTCTTAATTATTTATTGCGAAATTCCTTTTCCCCTTGTCCTTCTGCAATTTCTAATACCTGTTACAATGCTTAAAGCAACTTTAATATGTCCTACTTTCCTTGTATTAAAAAAATTATAAATCATATATTGATATGGTTAAGAAGTTAAGAATAGTTTTTTAAACGAATTGCTGAATTAACAAAGCAAAAACAAAACAAAACAAAACAAAACAAAAAAAAAAAACATATTTCGCGCTAAGATTGATAGAACAGTATCGTAGGAGTAACGTGGGAGTAATTATATCTATATTCATTATTCAGGTGTGCATTTAAAGATTATTAATCGTTAAAAGTAAATTCCAAAAGCTGTGTTTTGTTATATTTTCATTAGATAAATTAATTAAATGTTAGCAATCTATGCCCACTACATCTACCAATGAGAAATGTCCTTCCCAGAGGCTGTTAATTTCTCATCATGACCATCTGATATGATTTGCTGGGCAATTAAGATTCATAATAATAACATCTGTTGTTTAATATTCATATACATGTAATTAATAATTCCGGGAACAAATATCAGGTTAATGCAAAGAACATGCTATTTGGATGAATCACAAACTATTCATTAATTTGATAACGTTTCAGCTGAGAAGTCAATATATAGAAAGTATACGTTACCTGATTCGCAAATTTTAAAGAAAATTTCTGATATTTTGACAGACTCGTTTAGAACTCCGGAGAACTGAAGACACACAGTAAATGGTACATGTATCTCTTCGATTTTCAAACTGTACTCCCTACGAATGACAAGAAATGTGGCAAATCAAAACTATTGTCTTTTTTAACATATAAAATACAAAATACATTGCAAAGATTTTTTTTCTAAAATCACCTGACTCGCTCTTGACCTATCGCAAAATCTTTTCAATCAATTCAATGAATTTAAGTAAATGATATGTTGGAGTAAACGAATGAAAAAGTATGCCTAGGTCTAAATCATGGGTTCATAACTCTGCCTCTCCCCCCCCCCGCCCTTTTTTTTTTTAAAAAAATCCCATAATAAAAAAAAAACTTTGCTTTTTGTGACAGACACATTAAAAGTAATGCCTGACGACAAATGCATATGTACCAAAATTGTGATATGACAATCGCATGGGGCTACGAAAACGTTATACATTGAAAATGTAAATTCTTAATTATATAGCAGACGAATTATGTACACGAGTTTGATTAGTCCGAAATATCTGACGTTTTCCAGGCTTTTTTTCCGATTTTGATATTTTACGTGCCAGGAAAACGTCAGAACCGGTGCCATTATAATTACGAAAACTGGAAATTTCGCTGTCTCCAACCGGTGTTGATTTTCGATACTTGCGAACTGATTTAAATGTCGAACTCACAAATTATCGATAGTACAATGCTTCTAGTACTCACCAATATCGATTAAAAGGAAACATCATTTCAAATTTCGATACAGGAGTTGCAAGATTTTAAAATGCACGAAATGAAAACGTATCTCGACAGCCAGATAAAATACTTTCATCGGATTGTATTTTTTGTAAACGAACCATAAAACTATGTTGGCGAGTACTAAAAGTATTGTACTATAATTGATAAGTTGTGAGTTTAACATTTAATTCGGTTCGAAAGTATCGAAAATCAACCCGAGAATGCCGCCTCCAGCTGGAGGCGGTGAATTCCCAGTTTTCGTAGTGGCGCCGGTTCTGGCGTTTACCTGGCACGTAAAATACATGTATCAAGATCGTAAAAAAAGCCTGAAAAACGTCAGATATTTCGGACTAGAGTCTGATGAGCAATTCATGAATATGTTAGATGTGTTCTTAATTCGGATTCTGTCTTGAGGGTAGCAAATGTAATACATGTACTGTATTGAAAATAGTTTTACCTGAATACTTTTTTTCTAGGCACAGAGCATACAAAAGGGGAATCCGACGGTGGTTCAAAGGCAACATGCGTTATTTCGGACCAGACCAACTGAACTGTTTGAATGAGGCCTTAAGCAACAGTTTGCTTCGAGTTTGGCAAAACGCATTGTGCCCGAGAACCCAGTCAATAAATGTTTTGCCATAATATCAGTAAAAATTGCTTCTTATAGAAATCTTGCACTGGTTTCCATGTATACGATGCAGATGAAAAAAAAAAATAGCGTCAATTTCATTTACCCCAGAAGGCAGATTTATCTCGGTCAGATTCCTTAACTATCGAACACCTACGACTGCAATTTAGATACATGTGCAGCTTGTAGACTTGTTTCGGACGATCCCGCCTCAGCTGAGGATTAACAAATTAATGCAAACAAAATGTGATATTGCGGTCTAACATCTCAACTATTGGGAAGAAGAAAACAACAATAGGCACACTAATACATATGATACAAAATGATCCACAGTCTGCAATCTTATTTGGATAAAGTATGAAAAAGAATGATTTCTTTTGTGGTCACGTGTTACCGAGAGAAAAATGTTGTTTACAGGCTTGAACCTAGTTCACTGTTATTCTATAATGAACGTCAGTCATAGAAATACATGTAAAGTTTACACGTTATTTTACAGAGTCAAATGCCTGTTTTGGAGACACTAGGAATGCTTCTATGTTACATATGCAACGAGTGTGTCGAAAAGAGATACTCAAGTAAAGGTAATGCCAAGGGACACGTGCCTCTAGATGGTTTTAATAGTGCAAAATTCTTCCATTTCCTTGATAATTTGCAGACTGTCTATTTTTAAACAATTGTTATTATAAATAGCAGCATGTTTATCACTTATGTTTTAGAGGAGCTTCTAAATGAAAGAAAATATCCATTTTTCCACATATTCTGTGACGTCTATTTTTATGCATTTGAAGATATAAATAGAAAACGGAACTCCCTTCAAATAATATGCATAGTAGTTACTGTAAACCAACTTTTATTCGCGTGCGAGAAATATCCGCGAGTTTAATTCGCGACATACTTTAACTCGCGAAAATAAGTCGCCGCGAACCATTTATTTTGCTTTGTATTTGAAGGGAAGGTTTCCTCAGTCGCGAAAATCAATTGTCGCGGATTGATTTCGAACTGACGATTCGCGAATAAATGTTGACGCGAATAATAGTTGGTTTACAGCATTGGTGTCCAGTTTCTGTAATTAGCATTTCTTTAATTAGCATTACTGATTTTTACAATAAATCTCCTTAATACCTAGCGATGGCATCTTAAACTTAAAATTTGATTTTTTAGATTTTTCTGAAATATGTCTATTTATAGATACGTAACTAAAAAATAGTATTGAGATCCCACTCCAGTTGTCTCACGAGATGACACTACTTATACTGAAGTATGAAAACACACATAGGATTAAAAAAATTTCCGTAGACAATTTTTTTTATCTTAAAGTTCTAAAAAAATACCAATTTTCCCATTTTTCG